AAAACGATATTGATCCCTGAAATCCTTGGTAATACCAATGTTCACTTTGTCTGGTTTTGTTGCAGCATGCCCCATATATGGATAGACATACTATTGTCGATCCTCGCACGTTTATCAATATGGCTGATGATTATTATCATCTTGTTTTTTTTTTCGACAAAAAAAATGACATTATTGAAAAGATTTATTTGTGATAAAATCATTAGGATTGTATCAAAACCTAAATTTAATATCATTCCGTTTTTGATAAATTTTGGTAACAATAATCAAATTGGATATCAACGACGAGGATATGTAAGAGGAAATTATAAAAAAAGCATAGAAAAGAAAAAATTGAAACAGGCAACAGCAAGGAGAATTGATACCTCAAGACAATTTATTAGAAAACCTGTTATCGAGTACCCTGATTATAAGGTGGATGATTATGATGGAAAGAGAAGTGAAAGTGAAAAAAAAAATAATGTTGAATATTGGAATAACGATTTAGAGAAAAGAACTTATCTTAAACTTAATTTTAGTCAAGCCTTTTTTTCGACAAGGTTAAATACTAGAATTCAAAAGTTCCAGACAAAATGCAATCGTTTAAGTCTAGGACATGCAGATCCAAGTATGTGGGTGTGCATGCACACATATGTGTGTATTTTATTTAATTGATCGTAATATTAAATGATGATGATTGATTTGATTGATTGATTGATGGTTTTTTTGTTGGTTGGATGATTGTATATATTTTTTTTAGCTATATTTAAAGGAGTGACATTTTCATTTGAGGATAGATTATTATATTTAATTGATGTAACCAGAATCTCGATGAAAGATCCAAACACCATACAAATAGAAGTATTTGATGAAAAAGTATGATATATATATCATTGTTATTTATTTAACTAATTATTTTAAAATGTTAAGTTGAGAACTTTAATTCTTTAGAAAATGAATCCAATAGTCAATATAATCAAAACTGTTGAGTCTAAACATGTTTTGGATCCAATAATCTGCGGTGACACTATCACAATTCAAATAGAAAAGCAAGTGAATATTTTTTGAAAAAAAAAAACTTGACAAAAAAAATATTGTTACAAGTTAAATTATTAACATACAATTTTCTATTTTGATTATAAGAGATTTAAAAACACTTGTAGAAACTTTATGTAAGAAAGTTGAAAAATATGCTGAAGATGCAAGAAATGATCTCATTGAAGTTAAAAATTTAGCATCAGAAATACTGGAAGAAGATATAAAGAATGGGATTCCTGAAGCACATATAAAAGAATTTAAGAGATTGGTAGGTATATACATACACATATTAAAATTTTTGATTATTTGTCATTTAAAAAAATGTATATTTTATAGTTTTCAGAAGATTTGGAAAATTCATATAAACATATTGACGAAATTATGAATCAAAAGTTGGATGAAATAAAGGAAACATATAAGGATGATCTACTTCTAACGATTTAATTAACAATTAATGAATAAATCAGAGAAATAAAATTACAGGGGAGGGCAAAAAAAAACCAAATTGCTAGTACTAGTGTAATTTAACACCTATTTATTATATAAGATTATTTTATTTAATTTTTTTTTTTAAAAAAAAGACAAATGTCAACCTTGCTGAATACCAAATCAACAAAATGACAACTTACCACATGGTAGACCAAGTGATCATGTCACCCAAAATATATACATATTGCAAAAAAAAGGTAAAAAAAAAATTTTGTATATATATACATAGAATTATTTTAAATTATTTATATATATAATTTTTGATTTGTAAGTTCTTGATTATTTCAATATAAAAATACAGTTCACCCACTCTCTCGATAATGAACTTTCTTGTCATATATGTATTTTTTGTGTCTTTGTTCACCATAGTAATAGAAAGAGATGTTCATTATATATTAAAAAGCCCTCAAAAAAAAATATGACATCTTATTAATATCTGCAATGGTTGTTAATGATCCTGATGTAAAATAGTTTCAATAATTATTAATGAAACTAATCATTGATAGTATGAAAACTTATGAAATCAACTACTATGTTCAGCATCACAAATGCGGCTTTAACAAGAAAAATGTTTTGATCAATATATTTTTCTGCTCTGGAACAAGAATTAAAACCATAAAAAAATTTATTATTATTTCAAATATTATTTATTATAAATTATATAAATGACACAATGATTATTGTTAAAAAATAAAATAACCTTAAATTAGTTTTAATTCGCATTAATTATCATTTTTTGGTTTAGTAATTTTGTTCGCTATCTAAGATTCTACTTGTATGATATGCATCTGGATGTGATTTGTATACTTGTGAACTGCTACCACTGCTGCTGCTATCATGATTTTTTAATTTTAGAAAATTTGAATAACCTGTTTATTAAACTATTATTATTACTATTACTATTATTATTGTTGTTGTTATTATTATCAAGAATTTCTTATTTTCGGCAAACTCTGAAAGCTCTCCAATAGTTGGTCTTTTTGATGCATCATCTGTGAATAACCATCAGGCATTTCAGGTAATATTGGTGGTCGTAAACCTTCACATATATCAAAAATCAAACAATGATTATGGGTTCTATCATCAAACGGTGAATGGTCTGCAAATACTTTCGGCCAACATAAATATTCAGTTTCTTTTGTGCACTTTGTATTAATTTTTAATTTGCTCCCCCCCCCCTCCCAAGTAGCTCAGCACAACATATGATATATGGATTAAATCTTTTCCAGGTATAAAATATAAAGCACTACTACATAAATATCTCAATGTCAAATTAGAATATTTTTTGCAAGTAATCAATCTCTTGAATAATTAATTGGTCTTTATACAACACTTGTGAAAAGAGCTGAAAATGCCACTTCGTAGATGGCCTAATATAATTTTAAGCCAAGAATGAACTTGACTTTACAAGAAGAATGAGAAAATATTTGTCAATAAATTTGATGGAAAGCATGCTCTGAAGAATTCAAGCATGCGTTGAAAAAAATGGATAGCCAACTAAATATTAGATTTAAACTGAAGATTTTGGTTGATAATCGAAATTCTTTAAAATTTAGTAACATGAAATTTTATGCACTTGGGATGGCCAATACTTTTTATCCAGGCACTGTATGAAGCTAAACAACTACAAACGACACTTAAAGAAGCAAATTCCAAAGAAAAAAGTATAACGAAGGGATTTGATAGAATCATTATTCTACAAGCTCTAACTTTAAGACAAACACATCTTCCGAATTTTACAAACCATAAATTAGGTTGCACGAAACTATTTTGTCATGTGACACAGCAAAACCTTGAATATAAACCGATTAAGAGTTTGCCGCAGAGCAGTAATAGTAATATCATCGAGTTGGACGGAACCCAAATGCAAGTCCTCAAACTCGGAATATAAACACAATTATAAGAGCTGATGAACAAAATAATATTAAAAACTAATTGTAGTCCCAAAACAATCACATGCCATATACGTATTGCAAATGACCAAAGGAACATTAGAGATTAATTAAAAATCGCAGTAAAGAAAACTATATACACTCCCTGGACAAAAGTTTCGGTCACCACAAATCAATTAATTACGCAAAAACGTACATAATAAAACACAAATAAATTTCATCAAATTGTGATTAAAGTTCTCAAGAATATGTATGCAAAATTTCAAATTTTTGTTAAAAAAATAAAAAGTTCAACCAAAAATAATTTTTTGGAAATGATCTCCAAAATGTCGATTTTGCAAATATTTTATCACTTCTCAAAAAAAAAAAACGCACATAATAACCACACCCGAAATTTTACTTATTTGTATGCAAGTCAACACTTTGTTGGCCGCACATTATTGGATATAACAGCTTCTATTCTTCTCGGCATACTTTCTATCAAATTCATATAAATATTTCTAGGAATTTGATTCCATTCTTCATGTAAAGCGGTCTCAAGTTCAACATTATTTTTAAATTTATTTGGACGTTTCCGAATACGAATTTCTAATTGATTCGTTTGATAATTACGAATAGGAATAGAAATTTAAAAATATTTAGCACATATGGGGGCGTGGGAAAATAGAAATAGACCATGGTTGTGAAAAAAAAGCACCTTTGAGTTAAAGGTATAGTAAATTACTTTTAATTTTCTTGTATGCAATTCGTCACAAAGATTAATTCTATATAGTAATAGGCAGGAACGTGTTTTCAAACCATTTTTATGTGATCACAAACCATTTTTATGTGATCACAAACCACTTTGCACATGACATATTTCCCACCGATCTATAACAAAAATCTTCGACAACTTCATCTTCAACAACGACATTAACAACCCAACAACAACACTAAAAACAAAGCAACAATGACCTGGTGGTCAATAAACACGAGAATGAGTTTAATTTCAAGGATGATAACTCCTTGAAACTACCAGTTCGTTGAAGCTGGAAAAAGTTATCGATATCCAAAAATATTATAATTCGAGGTGCCCACTAAAGGTAAATATATTTATCCGTTTTTTTCGAATTATTATTGTTAGTTATTTTTTTATTGAAAAATCAATATTTAATTGGTATCTTTATCATCATCCCATCAAACTATCAGAGCAATTGGTCTGATGAAAAAGACTTTCAGCCTGAATATATTAAAAAATAAAGAATAGTGGTAGCGATGAAATCCGGGCACTCAACAATTTTTGAAAGAAGAGGATAAGTCAAATCTTGATATTTGATTTATTAATAAAAGTTATAAATATATAGATTAAATAATGTCTTCAATGTATATTAATTAAATCATTCATTCATTACTTTGATAATGAAAGATTACACATTTAAAAATTTATTTTTAACTACACACTCCAGAAGCTAAAATAAACTAATTCAATTTAATAATTAACGAACAACTTGATTAAAAATATAATACATAAAATCTCATTTACCTGAATTATTCTCTATATTATTAAATTATCTAATACCATCTGGCATTAATCCCTTTTCTTTTAACCTAATTATATAGATAGATATATTAGTAAATTAATAGAGGATTATTAATATAGAATAATTCAAAAATAACTACCATTGGTTTGGTGATAAGGATGCCTATAATCAATCCAAGAATTGTTATTAACAATGTTCCTTTACTGAAATCTTCACTTAGTACATCAAATGTTTTTGATGGTGCTTCTCTTGTGAACCACAAATCCAAACCATACGCAAGCACAAGTGATGTCGACTCTAGTAAAGCTGGTGATGTTATAATCCGTTTAACGCCAGCAACCTAAAAATCAACAATAGACTTTTTAGATTATATATGTATAAATATATATAAATATAAAAAGATTGTTTAAAATTGTCATACACTTAAATAATAGCTTAGTATAAATTTTTTATTATCTGGGATTGCAGGGTCATATGGGATAAGCATTTCTTCTTTATCCTCGTTAGTTAAAGCATGCAGAGGTCTTCTAGGATCCAATATTCTCTTAGATAAACCAAGTATTTGATCAGTATCCAATGCAACTGTTGTTATCATTAAAACTGCGTGTTAATTAATAATAAGACAATATTGATAATAAATTATTTAAATTTCAAAAAGATTCACATAGAAATTCTCTTATCGCTATTCCATTCTTCGTAGTAGTAACACCGATAGTTTTAACACCATATGGCAACATAAATGCTTGTGCATTTACATAAGGACGTTCATGCGAAAATGATGAAAAAACAGGACTAATAATATTGGATAGAATAAATTTTAATAAACATAAATAGACATAAGATAAATGTGGCTTGGATGATGGCGATGATGATTATTTTAACACATACCTATTTATTCTTTCATCTTTTTTTTCACTTTCATAAAAATCATAAACAACTACTTGATAACCTTTTGTTGATTCATTTTCACTCCAAAATACATATAAAACAGTATTTTCTACTTGAACAATATTTATTGGGTGTATTTTCCCAACATTTTCATGTTTATATTGATACAATATCGATCCCTTAACTATATCTATCAAATATATATTTAATGTTGCAGTTGAGGATTCTGATGATGATAATGTGGCGACTGCAACCAAATGTGGATTTAGATATTTGTATAGAACTGATCGATCACCAAGAACACGGCCAAGTGATGCGACTTTTTCTTTTATCGCAATAAATAAATAAGTAAATAGTAAATAATAATTAAGCATGCTTTTAGCAATAAATGAAATAAATTGTGAAAATCGCTAATTAAAAAACCAGCTAACAATCAATGACTTAATTTACCATATTGAGGTCTATGACCAATTGCAGAAATCTTTTCATCATCTGGAAAATGGATATTCCAAACTTCGGATATGTCAAAATGTTGAAGCTGTTATTTGTTAAAGAGTTAATAATATATTATAAAAATATTCAAATTCTAAACATGTTTACACAAACCTCATCACTAATGTTGGCATTAACACTGTAACCTTTTAATCCTTCTGAGTGAATAGTATTCTCAGATAATGTAAAATAAAATGAAGGAGTGAAATTTTTAAATGCTTTCCTAGAGTTTTTATGATTTGGATATAAATGAAGCTATAGATATCGTAACAAGTATTGTGATTAGAAAAAACTTTATAATATAATAATATTTAGATGATTTTCTTGACTAACTTTTGAATCATCATCAATTACTGCAATAATATGCATCCTCTCATCAGGTTCTTCAACTGGTAGTTTGAATATACGACGAGAAATGCCTGATATTGAGTAAATAGGAGGATAATTTTCTACATGTTCGTTAGATATAAAATCTTCCCCAGTAAGAGCATTTAGTCTGATAAATTTAATGTGGTAACTCTCCTAAATAAATTGTATTAAATAAATGCGGATAAATATATTGGATGTCAAGGCATACACACACACACATATATATATATTGACATTTTATATTTACCTCTTTAATCTGGTGTCCAATGGCAACAATAACTGGTGGATATTTAACTGTTGATGAACGAACAACTATTAATTTTTCAAATGAGCGTATTTCCTTGCCAAAATAACGCGACCAAACAATCTGGCCCTTATTTCCAGTGTCTAAAGCTACTAGTTTATTTTTTGTTAGGGAAATGAGCAATTTACGAAAACCAAGTGTGTCCCTGTAAAGAATAGGTTTTCCTTTATCGTCTTTAGAAATAGGTTCTACAGAATAGTCACCAGTAACAAATCTTTGTACATATGTAGTCAAATAAGCTGGTAAGTCCTAATTTATTAAATGGTAGATAAAAAACTTAATTAATTGGAATTTCTTAAAGATAACAAACAAAATCCATAATAACTGAGGATCAAAAAAACAAACAATTAATTAATGATTAATTACTTTAAGTTGTTCTATATGCTTAAATAATCTTTTAAAATAGCGAGTCAATGGATTAAAAGATTCAGTTTCTTCCGGTTGTTCAGCTTTATAATTATAATTATTGTTATTTTTTTAAATTAAAAAAGTTAAATTAAAAAATATATATTTAAAGTACATTTTCTAAATATTACCAAGTTCATCAGTTTCTTGTGTCCATAGTTTTCTTTCAGGCAAATCAATAAATTCAACTTGTATGGTGTGTGCAAGAGATTCTTCTCTCTCCCAAATAACATTGTTTTCTTTTAAAAAATGAATAGATCCATCAGCTGAAATTGCAAGCATACGATATGCAACAGATAATTTTTCAGTGTTGTTTTTAGGAATTATTACATCAATCATAGACTGTTTCATTTGATTTTAGAAATTGTTTTAATTAAACATATATGATCATGTAATCAATAATGTATGAAAAATTTTAAATACATTTGCAAGCTCCCCAGAGGATGAAATTGAATATGAAATTTCATGATTACTTGATACCGATTGTGAGGCAGGATCAATAATTTCGACTTTAATAATATCCTATTAACATGACGCAATAAATGTAAATTTTATAAAATTAATCATTATATATTGTTAGATAAAAAAGTTAAAGAATATAATTTTATGAGATTTAACAAGAAATACACTTGGAAAATACCTTTGAAGCTGCCCAACTCCTAGAAATTATAAGACGATTGCTTTTATCAATAGCACCAGCATAAACGGAATTCCCTTTCTGCAAATTTAACAAATCATTAAAATTAACATTTAACAATAATTTTGCAAATTAATAAAAAAAAATTTTACCTTTGCTTTCATATCATAAAGAACTGTCAATTTGCCATCTTTTGGATCAACGGTTAAAACAGCAGAAGAACTATAGTCATCTTTTGTTAATGTTTCAATAAGAAATTCATTTCTTGAATTTAAGTTTAAATCGACAAATCTAATATCTTTAGCTTTAGTGTTTGCAGGGAATGATGGCATGACTTTTTCATAAAGCGACTAGAAAAAAATTTTTTTTTTAATGAGAATAATAACAATTAACATGAATGCATGAATTGATTAAAAAATAAAATAACCTTGTCTAAAGGAGCTTGTTCAATATTGCTAGTACCTAAACGATTAACTCGAATTCGTTCACCTTCTTTCCAAACAATAAATCCATCATTTGAACCACCACCCAGTATAATCATATCATCCTTATGAGCAAGGCTTGAAGAAAGAATTTTCGAATTCGCAGCACCACTCTTTACATCAAAAGACATTGTTCCAATCGAATACGATTTGAATCCCTTTTTTAGACCAATTGCATATATCTTCTGGTCATGTTTAATTAGTTTATAAAATGTCATGGAGGAACTGTCAGAAAAAAAAATTTTTTTAATATATTAATAATGTTGGATGTTAAATATCAAAATATAAATACATACATATATATATTAATTGAATAAAAAAAAACACCTGTCTAAGGAACCCGATTTCCAAATAAGATTGCCATTAGTAATGTTCAAGCTTATTATAGTGGATCCTTCAATCAACACAATAACACTAGAACCATCCTTTTCGAAAACAATATCACAGCCTGGAGAATCATCAGAGTACTGATTATTTGTTGGATCAAATTCCGGGTTTTTTAATGCTTGTTCCCACAATAAAAAACCAGTTTGAAGATTCCATAAACGAATATTAAATCCATGATGTTGTGAAATAGATAATCCAACTAACAATTTCCAAAACATAAATTGTTTTTGTGAATAAATTCAAAACTTCAATAAATATAATTACATATGTATAATTATATTTGGATAAATGATAACGAAATTACTAACCCTCTTCGTAACCTTTAAAGGCTAATATGGGCTCGTCTTCTTTAAAAATTTGGCGCCATTCTAGATAAACAAATGTATTACAGTTAATGAGCCTGACGGAAGGATCATAATTCTCTTGGGAAGATTGATTGTAAATACAAACCAATATTTCCACTTCGAGGATTAAGAGAGGCTATTACATTACGATCTGTTGCTAAAAGTATAGTTGTTGCTCTAGAAGGTATTCTATGGAAGAAAGAAAATTTTGGTTTACCAATGTACTGTTGATGCCTAAAAAAAATAAATTAACTAAATTAATCAATTAATTATGATTATTTGTAAACTTTTAGCTTTTTACCAATCAATTGTTCCAGCTTGTGATTCATATAAGCCAAATACTAATTCTAAATTTAATGCTAATAACAAGAAAAGAAATGATATATTTTTCATTTAGATTTATTTTATGTGATTTCAATTTTTTTTTCTAAAAAATTTTTTTATTGAAATGAAGATAGCGCGTAATTGATGGTTACATCAATTTGATTTAATTATAAAAAATTTATTTCTTCTTCCAAACTTTCTCAAACTGTATTACATTGTAACGATTGAAGAGTCAAGGACTCTTGCCTCTTAGACTCTTTGATATATGGATGGACACGTCTTAAAGAGAGTCAGAATTTTGAGAATTCGAGGAAACAATACATGCGAAAACTGATTTTTCTGTAATCTCTGGTTCGATAACAAAATTCGAAATTTTTATATCTAGTATAATGCTAACGTAGGTTATTTCATTTATATCAAAATCTTTATAATAATTCTCTAAGAAAAAAGCCTGCTTAGTTATTATTTGGACAAAACACAAATGCCGAAGCCTTCTTTAACAGGCGTACTTGGTTTTGGTTTTAATGGAGAATTCAGCTGATTTGATTATAAGTTATAAGGGTATCTATACAAACAACAAACTATCTTATGGCAATGATTATTAATTTCAATTGGTTATTTTTTGTAAATACATATTGTTCGGCAGCTCTACTACATCTTTAATTAAATAGTTTTTTTTAATATCAAAAATAATATTTAGTAAGTAACAAGTAAATTGTTCAACATTAAACATCAATCTTCTTTTTCTCTTCAATTTTTTTCAAAATATTTTTTGCTGTGTTAAATATACCATTTGTTGCTGTACCACAAGCAAAACAGTTTGGACTTTTAGAAAAATTTTGTAAAGCGCACTTTTCACAAAAATAATGACCACACCTATTAACAGATATACACAAAATTAATTTACAATATAAAGTAAAGAAAGTAATAAAGGAAATTTTTTTTTTACTTTGTTACAACGGGATTTTTAAATTCATTTCGACAAATCAAACAAGCAAATGGTAATTCTTCATCGCTTTCATCGCCACTACTCTCCACAACGAATGCATTTGGATCTTTTTTTGATTTGCCTTGCACTTCTTCCCATTCTTTCTCCAATTGCCATCCAGTTTTATAATCCCCTCGATCATGTAAAAATTTACAAGAATCACCATAACCACAATATCCAGTTTCTAAAAATTAAAGAACAAATCCTAATAATCTTTTAATCAAGTCTCCTTTTTTGTTTAAATTTTTATTAATTTTATATAATAAATCACCTTTATAATCTTTACATACATCTGGTTGATAATCAAACCTTGAAGTTACTCTAATATTTGTTGGAGCTCTTATTGGACCAGCTCTACATTTTTTTTTTTTTAGCAAAACAATTATAAAATCGAATCACAAATGCAATAGCAACAACAATAAAAATAAAAATAATATTTACTTTATTTTTGAACTTGCAGCATTTCCAGCAACAGTATCTCGTTTTTTAACATATGATTTATAAGCATTTTGTCCTTTATAAACATTGTCATCATCTCCATCATCATCAGCCTATATATGTATGTATACATTAACAAATTAACAATAACAACAATTCAGTTTTGTTACCGTTACCTCTTCAGCTGCCAATTTTTTTTCCAATAAAGATTGAGCATCGCGATCAGTCTCAGTATCCCATTCTGCTGTTCTCGTAGCAACATCCTCAGGTACCGAAGACATTGCTGATCTGTTTGCTGAGTATGTGACGTTGACTTCTGCTGAAGTTTTATTTTTTTTGTTATTTTGTATAAAAGGATTTGAAGAGTCGAATTTACGTTCCTTTGTCACTATTATTGGTGTTTCCTCTTCCTCTTCTTCTGCTGTTGCCTTTTCTTCATCATCTTTCTTTTTTCGTTTTCTGATGTTTTTATTGGTAGTTTTTTTCTTGAAGAATTGAACGTTATCTGTTTTATTGTTTATTTCTTCTAATTTTTGATTATCTTCAGACATTTTTTTAATTAAACAATTTATTATTATTATTGTGTTGAAATTTAGATCTTCACAAATATGTGTAACCGCATTATAGTTAAGTGTAACAGATTTTTTTAATATTAAGTACAAAATGTCCAAAATTTGAAAGGAACACTTTACATAATAGTACTTTTCTGGCCCATATGTTTTACGTCACGAAGATTTCAAGTCGATCATTACTTTTAAATAAATGCAAAATGTCGCGAAAAAGAAGTAATTTGAATTTAGTAATGTGTCGGGGAAAATAAAGTAATTTGATTAGTAATATGTCACGAAAAACAGAGTAATGAGTTTGTCGTGAAAAATTGAATTTAGCAATGTGTCGCAAAAAGGTCACTAATTTCTTTCTTATAAATATAAGAACTAGGAAATGCATTAAAAAATTTATTTCAGCTAAAAATTAATTTCCTAATATTAAATAAAAAAATAAAAATGTCATCAATCAAAAACAATTTTGTGAATTTTATGAAGGAAATCCATCATTCACATATAAAGAACTTGGTCAAAAATATGGGGTGTTTGGGTCTGTAGAAAATAGTGTAATAAAATATTTAATAACAAAATTGTTCCAAATATTATTATTATTATGCAGAATCCTCTAATTGTCCAAATTTTACATTTTATGAATATCCTGAGGTACAATTTCCAAAAAATTGAAGCTACACTCATAAATTAGCTGTTTTGCCTATTATTATTGCCTCTATCTTTCTCTACCTCTGACTTTGCTGCTGCTATTATGTCCATTTATGCCGTTTCTGTTTTGTCGTCATCATTTCTAGTGCTGTAAGAAATAACGATGATATTAAATCATCATCTGCTATTACTATAATAAATTGTTAAATAAGAACAGCACTTCCTCCGGTTCTTTTGCAATATATGACGACGATAAAAGTGATTTGAAAGTCATGTCACTTGTTCAAAGAAGATGAGAAATCAAAGGAATGCACAACATTTAATCAATATTTTTTAAAAAGCCATTTTAGTGTCCATTCAAATTATTAATAAAATCAATACAATTTGGAGCACATATTTTCAAAATCTGTGATAAAGTTGACGCAAACTGAAGCAAGATGAAATATTCAGAAAGAAAAAATTTGCGAAATGAGAGAGTAATAATATATATAAAGAAGAGAACATCGAAGAAAAATTATATATCGAAAGAAAACAAACGTCAACTTTCACATCTGTCCCATAATTCATTTATTCAACAATTGTGCCAGAACACGATAATGTCTGTGAAAATTTGTTTAAAAAAGAATAAATAAATATAAGTTACCTTAGGAGTTATTGTTGTAATTAATCGTTTTAATATAAAATTGAAAGTAAGACTCTGAATTATTCGATTCGTGACTGTAACTCGATCCGATTTGATTCGAATTTGCGAATCATAATGAAATCGTGACGGGGACAAACAAAAGCTTTTACCCGAGTTTGAAACACATTAGGTCAACTTTTACTTAGTGTTTACTTGGTGAATTTTGAATAATTAATGGTCAAAGAGCTTTTGTCAAACGATTCACTGATTTTTTTTTGAGTTGATATTATAAATGAAATATTTTAAATTCAGTTATAAGTAGTAGATCATTATTCAATTTGAATTCCGCTGACTCATTCGGAGCCTTACTTGAAAACATTACATAGCCGGTTTTCTCATCACTATGCTGGAAACAAGCAGAGGCCGAAAATCATGAATACAGTATAATAAATTGTGCTACATCTTGATCACCCTATGAATATTACATATTAATATATTAATGTTAATAATATCTTTTAGAGATTTGGAAGTTATGTTAGAATGATTAATATTTGAACCAAAATAATTTTAATTTACAAGAATCATGTATTGGATAAAAAGATTAAAGAAATATTCTCTTGAAGCAACATCCAACAGGTGATTTAGAGGAATAGACTTTATTTTTGCAATCTAATGGGCCTGAACAACAAATGTAACAGAGAATTTTTTAAATTTAATTTTCCAGATTAAATTTGGATTTGTTTTGATCAACAAAAATAAAAAATCTTTTATAAAATGGAAACCTCAGAAAATTTAAGTTTTGAGAAACAGAGAGCAGCTTTGATTAAAACTTTTCTTCAGGTGAAATTTATTATCAATGAATATATGAAGATTAGTAAATCTTTATTGGACGCACTATATTTATTTATTTATTTTTAAAAAATACAGGGCTTAGAAAAAACAAACGCGAACCTTTCCACCTTGAATAAAAACCTTGAAAATATTACATCAGTTGGAAAAGATTTTGAAAAGATTTCAATGCTTTGGAACAATTTCAATGAAGAAATTACAAGCAATAACAACAACAATAGCAATAACGACAAATAAACAATATTATTTTATTCTGTTTTATTTTTTTACATGTTGAGAAAACAAATAAATAATTAAAATACATAACTGACTTTCTGCTTTTACTCCACCTTCATTAAATTTGATATCATTTACTATCTTCTATGAATGTTTTCTATCTTTCTTTTGTGTAATTCAGGAATATAGCTCTTTACACTTCCTCCTCCCCTGGTTATATTCTTTTTCAGTAGCAGGTTCCATAGTTCTTTTTATAACTTCTGAGATAGCTATAGGTTGTCCATTCTTGATTACTTTTTGAAGCGATTTTCTTTAACTTGTATCTGAAATATCACAAGGGAAACAATTGATGATTATATCTTTGGTACAATCTAACGAGGAGGTGTCATAATCATTATACTTGTAAATCTAACAGATATGGAAACTAATAAAATCAAAAAATTTATCAGATATTATAAAATTACTTGTAAATACTTCATTATAATGAATATACCCGCCCACATCTATTAGCTCTATAACTGTATGGATAAATGTTTTACTGCTATAAAAGATCGTAATTGATCAATTCCCTGGCTGCAACTACTAATAAATTAGCTTGGCCATTCAGAGAAAAAGAATATTTTAATATTTAATTGAACCCAAAAAATTATTAAAAAAAATAATTAGATATAGCATATGGGATAAAAAACCAACATAAAAAAAGAATAAACAAGCTGATCCAAGAGAAAATTTCAAGTCTTGCCTTCTCAAACTGATATAATTCGAAAATACATCTATCATCACATAACTTAACACAAAAATATTATTGAAAAACATTATATATATATAATTTTCTTTTTTATTAAGAAAGTATATTTGAATAATTCACTCGCGATAAAATTAATTATTTCACTTGAGGAAAAGCAATAAAAGCTATTTGTTGTTATTTATTTGCTTTTTTTGAATTTGAAATAATTTCTTACTTTTTCAATAAATAATAATATACAAAGAACAATAATGATCCTTTTTTTTGGTAAATCTAATTATTTGCTATCACCATTGATACTATTAAATGTACCCAATTCATCAATTCCTTCTCAATCATCATCATATAGTATGAATTTGCAAACATTAAAATTAGATAATATACCTAAAAGTTCATTTAACAATAATCAAGAATTAGCTACAGGGCGTCCTGTGTCTGATGTATGTTTACACTTCTATTTGTTCAAGAGAATAGTGATGATAACATAATAATAAAGAGACATAAGTTAATTCGCAATTTGTGACAAACGGAAAGAGTTGAGTTAGAATTTGACATCATGAATTTTATTTACTCCATAATTTAAAATCTACAAAATAATTGGTTTATTTTATTGTATCGTTGTTTTCGTCGCTTTCATCACTTTCGTCAAATTACTCAAAGTGTGGAAATCCTATTTCGTCACCCAAGCTTGATATATAACCTTCGTGATCTTTTAAAGAAAAATTAATATATATAATTTTCCTCGTGGGATCAGATAGCTAACTTGGCAAACCTTCATGATCCCATTTAAAAATACAAATTACAAAAAAAAAAAATGATAATGAAGTTCCTGAGGTTGTGATGGTGAATAATATTTGATTCTTTTTTTTTTAAAAGGAAATGATGGTAACAACAATCCTTTTTTTTTAAAAAATAATAATAAATGGGTCAACTATTTCATCACAAAGTTGTGCACCTGCTTTATAAGAACCTTGAAAATAACTCACATTGAGACAAGACATTCTTAATTTTTTTAACAATGTCTGAACAAACTAAGTTTACATGATATGTGAACATTGTTCTGTAATTATTTTTTTTTTCTAGTTACATATAGCTTGCACCATCACTAACAACAGCAGAGAATCTTTATGGCCAATTTCTTCAAGAATCCTTCAGCAAAAAATGCACCAGTCTGAGAATAATGTGAAAACCCCTTAATTGAATGAACAAATTGTTTTCATAATGGAATGACAATTAAAAATACACAATATGAGTGATGTGGGTTACTAATGATAAGTTTTCTCCATTCTTTCTCAATGGGAATACTAATTCTTGAAACCTCTTTATCTATCAACATTGTACTCAATGTCTTATGATCTGATGGATTATAAGCAGGGTCAAATTTTTAATGAAATCCAAAAAAAAACACATTTTCAACTGTTGCAAATGGTATGCTACAACACACAAAAAATTTTGTTAATGCATTACCACACAATTTTGATTTCCCTTGGCTTATATTACATTTTTGAAAATTTTATTGGTTATTCTTGGCTGTACACCACTAGCAATTTCTAAATCTAATAGTTCTTTAGAGGAATTGTTTTCACTTATACTATACTCCACATTTCTCAGTTTTGTCGAGTACAATTATTTTCAATCAAATTTCAGTATTATTGTTACTATAATTTTCTTCGGTTATTAAGTAATATTGAGTTTTTGCTCCTATTTTTAATTGTGAATTTTTCTAATTCTTTAAATTCTTCAACTCCGATTATTAGAAAACCTCAGATATAATAATATAATAGGAAATTTGATGTAAATTTAGTGTTACGACCCAGATTGTTAATGGATTAACATTATGGACCCGTTAATACTATCATAATTAAAGAATATTTTGAACCCGTTAATATTTAATATTAATATTAAGGATTTTTTCATCCAGGTTAACCCGCTAAAATATATTATTATTATTATTATTATTATTATTATCCGTATGTGGTGGGAATGAAATGAGTGGATTCAGCCAAATTTGGGAGATTGTTTGCAGTAGTAGGTCAAAATAAAATAATTAATAAGCGAAAGTGAGTCTCACAATGCTATTTTTTTTGCCTCTAACTAAAAATTGATTGATTTTTACTTTATTATTATCAATTTCGAGTTACACGTGTTAGTTTGTATTACATAAAAATGTGCAAGTTCAGATAATGATAGAAAAAAAATCCATCTTTTGAAATATGAAATTTTTTGTTATACCTTTATTTAAAAATCAATTAACATATTATTGTCTCAGTAATTTTGATAAACCACCAACTTATCTATCAAAAGCATCAGATTTAGCTGCAAGAAAATGGAAAGAGTTATCATACGCAGAGAAAAAAAGTATAAAAGGTCGAGTTTATAATGCTGGTCAGAAATTATTGGATAGAATGGATTATCAAGAATATTTTCTAAAAAGTATACCAATTCGTGAAGAAAGAGTAGTAGATGGTGATGTTAATAAAGATGATAAAAGTAAAGTAAGTTTATTATTATTTAATTATAAAGATAGTAAAAGAAAAAGAAATAGAGATAGAGATAGAGAGAAAGAGGAGCATTGTTTTTTCATATACACAAATAAAACGAATAGAAAAAGGAAAAGAAAGAAAAACACATAATACAAGTATTAATTAATTTATTAATTTCTTCCCTCCTCTCTCTTTCTCAGGTACCGTTACTATATCCTTCTAAAGTGGTAACACCAAATCAAATCATTTTAAATATTGAACAATTATTAGAAAGAAAAATACCGTATCATCGTAGATATATGATTTATTCTGGTTTATGTTTGCCTTTATCTGCAACTTTTACTCTAGTTCCTATATTACCAAACATTCCTTTGTTTTATAACCTTTTTAGATTATACAGTCATTACAAAGGTATTTATTTAAATTTTTTATATATGTATGTGTGTGAAGAAGATTTCTTGGGAGTGAAAAAGAAATAATTTGTTTTGTTGTTTGTCTATCTATCTATTGATTGATTGATTCCTTGATTGATTAATTAACACATCTCATCCTTCCTCCCCCCCCCCCCAAAAAAAACATCAGCATATAAAGGAGCAACACATCTTCAACATATTATTAACGACAAGAGACTTGTCCCGACTGATTCAAATAAATTAAATCTAATTTATAAAGATCTAGATTTAGATAAATCTATAATTGACGAAGATACGATTCGTCGAATTTCCAAAGCTCTTGGTATTTCTGTTTTGGAAGTTGACATGAAAAGAGCAAGGCATCAAATTTTAGAAAGACTTCAAAAAGATAATAAATTATGATGATGATAAAAATGCTTGAGATAATAAACAATTAACTGTTAATTATAATTATTAAATAAATAGATGGATAGATAGATAATTAGTTAATTAATTAATATTAGACATGATATTATTACTCGTGATTGGTAATGTGTTGTAATTATTAATTTTATATATGTAAATTTAATATTTTCATTAATAAGTAAATTTTGCCTATGTCAAGATTTCCCATAATAAACAACACTAGTATAGTGCAAGTCACTTAACCCAGTGCAAAAATGTTTAAGATATTAATCTGTGGCAAAAATAATTAATGTGAGAGTGTATGTGTTCGCTTGTAATGGATGTATGGTTAGTAGAGCACAACAAACCTTTTTCATTTGATAATACCAAAGAATGACAAATGACGGTTTAAGATAACGTTTATTTTAACGTCAATAGGTAACGATGTATTTTGTTTACACATTTTATATGTTAGATATCAATTGTAAATTAAAAAGTATATGGAGAAAAAAGAGAACTTGGTTTTTTATATGCAACTAATACTAAGGATCCTTTCGACTAGTTCAATCGATCAGTTATGGTAGCACTCGATAAATATTAGTTATCTCAAATCTGTATTTAATTCAGAACAATTAATGCACTGTTGGCGATCTATTATCAATGACCAGGGCCCTACCTGGCATATTCATACAACGCACAGGTACTAATTTATTGTCAAAATAGCATATAGACTCGTAAAACCATGTGACCATGGAACCAATTCAAGATATATTAAAGAATCCGACTAAGAGACTTTTCAAAAAATTGGATGATAACTCACACCATGAAGAAATTGAAATTGAAGAGTTATGATTCGATTGGTAGCCCCAAAAAACGCATATAATGTTATTAGATAAACTTGACGAGTACAATTATTATCACATCAAAATATGGATTATACTCTAGAGGATAAAAAGTGCAATTCTGAAATCGACAGAATCATTGATGATAAAAAAGAAAATGTTAGTTAAGGACATTTCTAGGGAGGAATGATTCATTTGATGAAAAACAATCTGTCAAAATTAGAGTTGCACTACCAGTTGGAAATAACGATGCAGTTTATGAAAGTGATGAAGATGAGAGAAAGGAGGAAAAGAAAGTTAGCTGTGAATCAAGTTCTCCCATCAGTTCATCAACAAACAATGAAGTTGAAAATTATTGGGACACTGGAGGATGAGTTTTTAGCGAAGAATTAAAAATTTTGTTGAATTTTTATTATTTTCAGAAAATTCGAATAATAGAAAATTCATAAATCAAATTTTCAACAACATTATAACTTTCTTGAACTAATATTGAACATATTTCTCTCATACCCCCTTTTTTTCATATGTCTCCAAATAGAAGTATGAGGAATTGATATATTATGCTTTTCCTGGGCTAATAAAGAAAGATGACGGGTTGTTAAAGCAGAATTATGATGAATATGTTGACCCAAGGAACGTGCAAGAGTTCGTGTAACCTTCGATTGCCTACCACTAATTTGTTTACCTTCAATGGTACCCGTTTCTCTAAGCTTTTAGAGGTTACGTTTGATAGTACGCAAGGGAATGTTTGTTCTTTGATATATTTCTTTAGTCGAACGAATTGTCATTGAGCCAAAAATGCAAAATAGTTTTACATTGGGTTTCAAGCTTTGTATTAACCAGTTTTTATAGATTTTAAGTAGCAAAAGTGAAAATAACAATAAATTTTTATTTATTTACGTGTTTGTTGGAGTGTAAACAAACGAATACTTAATTCGTAAATTATGTAAACAAACAATTTATTATTTTTCATCTTGAATACCAATAAATGAACTTTACATGGACTAAGGTAATAAATTTTACTTGTTGATCTGAATGTGGCACATGAACATTTTGGGCTAAATCATAACTATAATGAGCAGTAGCAATATGGTGTTTCACCCTTTGAATAATGTTGATCAACTAATTTCCTTTGTTCTTCTGCTAGTTTTGTATTTTTATTATAATAATTTCTTTCTAGTCTGGCCTTGGATAGATGTTCTTTAAATCTTTTGAGCAAATCTTTAGCTTCTTCCTCTTGGCAAGCATTATAATGTAAACCATCTCTAAAATGTTGACAAGTATCATGCAAATCAGTCCTTGGACTCATAATTGAATTTCTGATGTCAATTGATGTCATAATTTTCTGAAGGCATCATATTTTAAGGATTTTAAATTATTATCTTCTTCTAGACCAGCCAGACAATCTCTATGTACTGATTTATAACTCATTTCAGCTGGTAAAAATATAACTGATTGAGTTATTCTATTGTTACTTCTTCCTGGACCTGGTAAGCCATGGACTTCTGCATAATTTTCTAGAAAATTCTTTACTACTTCAGCAATATTTTATCAATTACTATTTTGGTTTTTCATTGAGGCATCCTTTTAACATTGCCATGAACTCTTGCTAGAAGACCATTGTTTATCAGGTGATTTCTGATATTTTCAAAATAAGACCTGTCAATTCCTAACATATTGAGATAAGTTTCTTGACAAAGCAGTGTATTATGATCCCAGTGATAGAAGGTTCTTTTATTATATCTAGTTTTCTTTTTAAGGTGTCTACTAGTGCTTATTGATCCACCATCCACGGTTTTAAGTTGAGCCATTAAAAATATGTCTTGTTCAGGTTTGGAATGAGCCCGAAAGAATTCCCTTAATTCTGCAAATTGTTCCTTGGGAATTCTTGAAGAACAACCACAACCACAACCCTTTTTCAAAAAATCAATTGCTTTTTCATATTCATTAGAACCATTGTACTTATTATTACTTTTCATATACACTTATCCCTATATATATAATTTTATAATGTTATGTTCACTTTGTAGGTTTTTGAAAATTTTAAATTTTATCAAAATTATAGCATTTTAAAATAATGAACCACCAAACACTCATGCCTATTTATATTATTACTATTATTTTTTTTTTATTCTAGTTTGTTAAGACTTACAAATTACATGATGGAAATTTAGCACATACAGAAAAAAAAAAGAATTAAAATAGAAATCTAGTGCTAACTCTAAAATAAAATATTTTAAGAAATCATCATATTTACATCCAATGGAATTTTAAGAGAATATTGCTTGATAGAATGTACAATTGGTGGTGTTCTTTCTGCATTTTTTCCTGGTTTTGTTTGGAACTTCTGCTTATTAAATGTTAAATAAATTTCATCTGGAACAACAAAATATAGTTCTGTCTCATTTTCTTCATTCTGAAGTTCATTGAGATGCTTAATTACTTTATTAACCCCATTTTGTTTAATGGGATGTGAATTTGAAACTGTCATTTGAAAAAGTAAGTGATTTGAAGATCTAGTTCCTGGAATAAATGTATCAATTGATTCAAATGAGTGTATGGATGGATAACAATAAAAACCTTGATGTTTTGCTGTTATTTCTTCAAGTTTTGAAAACTTAAAAGTTCCTTTAACAGTCAAATTTAATTCATTAATTAAAGAAGCTGATGTTCTACTATTAGATTTAAATTTTTTCTTTTGTGTATCTCCTTCTCTTAACTCTTCTTCTGACTCTAATAATTTTATTTCATACTTTCCACCAGTTTTTAGCATGTTATGTGCAAACTCTTCAAGCAAATTACCACAAATACCACCTGTAATTGATTCATCTTCACATGCTTTTAAAAAATTACATAATGAAAACTGTTGTTCATTTAAAAATCTTTGATATATTTTTTCTCTGATGATAGAAGAGGCAAATTGAACTTTGAGTCATTGAAAAGTTTGAGGATCTACTACAATGTGTACTATCACATGAGAAGTATCATGAGGAGCATCAACCTCACCGACAGATTTTATTATCTTACCAAGGTCACAGGTTTTAATAGCCAAATCTATCTCTTGATAAGCTTCTTTTTTTTTCCATTCAAAAATATAATGAGCTATACCTCCACATAATTCATATAATTCTTTTGCATCATCTATAGGCCTAGAAGTATATAACAGATTACAAGCATCTTCTACTTCATCTATTGTCCATGTAGGCATGTAATAGGATTCCCACCTCTGCAGTTTTTTTACAACCTTTAATCTTTTTTTTTGAGGTAAGGACTATTTTTACTGCAGGATAATTTGAAGGTATCATATCATCAACCATGTGTAATGTTGATTCCAGATTTAATACTCTACTAAATTCATCCAGTGTTTTCCCCTCAAAAACTTTGTTCTTTTGATGAAAAATAAAAAACTCTTCCTGGATAGTTGAAATGTTGATAAATTATTTCTTTTTTTAATTTTGCAAATTGATAAAGTAAGTGAAGACCAAAATATGACTTTCCTATTCCTGGATTACCAGTTATGAAAAATAATGAAGCATTTTCATTTTTATTTCCATCTTGAATTTCATTTTGGATTTTTTCATAAATCTTATTGTAACACTTTCTAATAAGGTAGGATTGTTTTTTCCAAAATAAAAAGGAAATGCCATTTGGAAGTGAAAAAATGTTGTCTTGCACCAAACTGTTCGAATCAAGTAATGTTTTCCAAAAAAGTTGGACATTTTCATCAGCTTTTAATTCATGATAGTTATTTCAAAAGAATCCCAAAAATTTTAAATCAATTAATAAGAAAATTTAGCAGTATAAAGAATATATAAAAACAATAAAGATGCTTACCCTCATTAACTAAATGATGAGAGAATAATTTTAAAAATTGATAGATGGTAAGAAAAAAGAAATTAGAATAAAGTATTGAAAAAAGAGCAGGTTAGTTAAAGCTGAAACAATATACAAATAAATAAGTAAAATGAAATGGACGAAAAATAATTTTTTTTTACACAATTTGTTCATTACCTTTTCCTCCATGTAATAGTTCTTGATACAGCACCTTCCAATTCTTCTTTATCTCCTCCAATCTCTTCTCCCCTTCCTTTAATTCTTTCTTCTCTCCTTCATAATCCTCCTTCTCTCTTCCCCTCTTCAGGTCATCCAGTCTTCCTCCCCATTTTTCCTTCCACTGATTTAACTCCTTCTCCGCCTTCACCAATCTGTCTCTAACTTCGTCAATTGCCATTTTTAAAAAAAAAATTTTTTTATTGATTTAGATCGTAATTGTTATAATTTATAATTTATGCATGATTTCAACCAATGATAAATTAGTGGGCACATAACTTGTAACTTATTTCACAAATTTTTTTTCAGTTAACTGTTAATAATAGAAAAAATACATAAATAATTATAAAAATATAAGTTAAAGAATTTTCAGAGCACTTGCATGGGAGGAAAATACTCTGACCCAAAGCTATTACCCGTACTCTGACAAAAATTTAACTTTACTGCTATTATTATTGTTATTGATCGGCATTATGTTAATTAGGGCGTGAATTTCAAATTAGCCAATCAGATTTTTGTATTCAAACGCCCACCCCAAAATTTAATTATATGGTTGGCTCGGTCTAAAGACACCTACTGCTGCGCCATGCGGCCAAATTTCAAAATAGCAATTTTGTAATTCGTTCTATATAAAATTTTTCAAAAAGTAGGACTTCACGTGATTTAGTTTTCTTACTGCCAAATTTAGATACGATAGTCAAGAGCTAGTCTAAATTTGGTAATATTTTCCTAAATTTAGAAATGATCATAGTGGACAAATTCCTCGCGAGCATAGTAAAGTACATGTTTTAAAAAAGACTAGAACTCTACAACAAATAATTTTTGAGAAAATCTCTCTATTACATTAAAACTAAAGTCATATTCTATCAACTAATAGAGCTATTTTTTTAAAAGGTGGGACAGAAAGTGACTTCTATACTTTTAAAATTTGCCCTAAATTTAGGAGGTTTTTAGACCAAGCTCCATGACAAACAACATTGCAAGTTATATAACAATTTCCTATGCAAGAATTCTGCTGCTTTAGAAATGCTTCCAAATTACTTCACTTTTATCAACAGCTATAAGTTTTACTATTTGTGAATTTATTAAAAGTCAATAAGTGGTGATGGGTCATTTTGTATAATTTGTCCTTATTCTTTTAATAAATAATATAAATAAAAATGGCGAAATTAATTATCCATCAGTAATTTCCAACCTTTTAAAACTTTAACCTTGCCAACCCTTCTTTCAACTACTTATCCTTTATTATAATTAATTAATAAATAATCATATTAATAATTAATAAATTTCAGTTAATTAACTATTTAATTTACCTTGTTGAAATTATATTTCATAATTTAATAAGCTATCATTACTTAAATTCAATTTAGCAATTTCATCATTTAATATTTTGCTTGTGTGATATGCTAATGGATGTTTGTTGCTGCGAACTGCTAATACTACTATTACCACCACCTATGAACAGTCGGGTTGTCAGGTTCATAACAACAATACTTGCATTATTTCATTTTCCACATTTGCTAATTTTTAGTAGTAATTATTTTTGCAGAACTCATAATAAATCATATTGCTATACATTTTATAATAGAAAAATATTACAATTTCTTTTTCTTCTTTAATTGAAATTATCTCGAATATTATCAGGTGTTTCTTCTTTTTGTATATCCAACAGATCCACCAAGAATTTCAACCAATTCTTTAACTTCTGCTCTCATCGTCTCAAATGAAAATTTTGTTGCGATCAACAGACAAACTCCATGTACCCTTTGTGGACCTCTCCTGCTTTCTTGTTTAAAATAACTCATCCGGCACAAATTGATTAATAATAATGTTATTATTATTATAGTAATAATAAATTGCGGGATTGCAAAATTTTATGCAATAACAGTGATTTCAAAACAACAATTATGAAGTTTATTCTTTTTTAAAAAAAGGAAGGTCATAATCATAAAGGTAATATCGATGGTATAATTCAAAGAGTATCAAAACAACATTGGGGGAATTTAAATTAAACTAGTCACAAACAATATTAAGCAGAAGATTGAGGTAAATTATTAAAGTATACAATAAATATTTATTTAAAATACATTAATATGATGATTATAAATTCATTTAATGCGAATCTGGTTCATCAAACAAACAATCTTGAAACGATGCAAGAAATGAATATGATGCAAGATATAGAACAAAGGGAAGAAATGAAATAATGCAAAGTAAAGCAAGAAATTGAAGGAAGTGAAAAAGGGTTTTCCAATAATGGATTAATTTTTGGGAGGGTGAATTTAATTGATGGTAATAAAAATAATAGGTTATGATGATTTCTCAAGTTGTGATTACGGACGGTCAGGGAATGTCCTAGATGGAAATAATCGATGAAGGTTTATTCAAAATTCTAGAAAATTCTGATTATGCAGATTCTTTCGTAGAATAAAAAATAATTTTTTTGCATTAGAGTTTATTATATGTATTTTTCTTTTTTGATACATAATAATAAAGTTTTATATCAAAGAATACTTTCTCACACGTAAAACATTTTCTTTTCCCTTAATTTTATCTTTGTGCATGTGAATTATGCATTGTATATAGTAAGCGGGAAACTATTCTTTAATCAGAATCCCATGAAATAATAAAATGCTTAAATAAAAGCCAGCATAAAGATTCATACATATTAATATGTATTAATGTAATGAGAAAGTCCCGGAAGAATTAATGTTATACGATCTGTATGTAATTTGTACTTTTTACGCATTTTTATAGAGTGTGGCCCTAATATGACCAATAGGTGTGTATCTTTTCCTACTGCTCACGTTCCTATGTTTTCTTTGGTAAAGAAGCAAGGTATACGTATGCTTTTCTTATAATAATAATAAAAATAAACCAACCTTAATAATTTATTCTCTATGAAAGTTGTAATTTTTCTCTTCTCATCAAACTCGTCTATTTGATCTTAAAGTTGAAACAAGATTGAAAAGAAGATTCAATTAGTAAACGTTATTATTTATAGAGCAGCCTTTTATTTGTAGAACAGTTTTTACCATACTTATATATATATTTATGTCCATTTTTTTAAAATGGCTGTTTAATGAATCGTGATACCTATAACAGAGCATCCGAGTATATATATTATACTTTAAACAATTATGAAATTTACATCGCACAACATAAATTAAAATTCATCACATCACAGATGATCGTCAAATCGTGATATAAAACGCCACACATAATTATCTATATATGGTTTCTCACATTAAAAAAAATGGCTAATAGACAAGTTAGGCCTGTTACAACTTCAAGGCCAAGTTCAACAATTTCTGAAGATTTGGTTTATAATTACGCTCTTCGTATTGCTTACTTATCTTATTTAACTGAACCTAAAGTTTCAAAAGCTCCAAAGACTACTCCCCCTCCCGTTCCTGTAAATATCGGTACAACAAGACCGCTTATCGATGTTAATCCAAAACGTCATAATCCTTCAAATTCAACAACATCTAATAAAAACTCTCTAGAATCTATTCATAATCATGTCGTTTCTCATTTTACCAACTTACATGATATATTTAAAGACGATAAGAAAGGCTCAACAAAGAAAATTCCAAAAGAATTGTTAAAGGTATTACAATCAACATTACAATTCATAATTTCTGGCCAAGATCCAAATCCAGTTTATAAAGATCCTTTATTAAAAAAAAACCTTGCCACATTTTATCAAGAAATATCTCAGCCAAGTTTTCGTCATCAACTAAAAACAAATAATAGCAAAGTTGATGATATTGTTTTATTGTTTCTCAAAACTGCCCAGAATGATCTAAAGCAAGCAAAATTACCACCAAATAAAGTTTGGCAACTTGAACTTACTGAACAAGTCAGTATATTTGTTGGCATATTATCAAAATGTTTACAGTCAAAGGAATGTGTTAACTCTTCTACTCCAGAAATATTATCTCGTTTAGAAATTTATCATTCAAAAGTTTCACATCCACAACAACCAACTCAATCATCAAATACTTCTGCCTCAAACAATGTTGATGAAATAGATGAAATGTCACTTGTAAAAACTGTACAATATATTTTTAATGTTCCTATTGACAAGTTAAAATCTGACCTTGAAAAAATAAAAAGTACTTGTAATGAACAGGTATATGGCTGCTGCTAATTTTCACTTTAAAATTTATTTATTAATTGATTAATTAATTTATTTATTAATTTTTATTTTAAATTAAAAATTAAAGGCTGCATTAGAGGATTTAAAAAATTTAATCAACAATGTAAATCGAAATGATCCTTTTCCTGCCTGTAAAGATGATTTTGAATCAAATGATGCTTACAATAATTGGAAGGCTATTGAACTTAAAACTATCTCGGATATAATAGCTACAATGGTTAGATTTAATCCAAACTTGGGTCCAAAGGCTTCCAAAGAGGTTTTGACTACACTTTTAACAAGTGGTTCTAATCCTTCCAAAAGATCTTCTTCTCCAAATTCATTATCTTCAAATCCAAACAGATCAACATTTTCTGGTGTTCCTGTCAATCCTGATATTCTTAATGAAAAGTTTGATCAAAAAAACCAACGTTCATCTACACCACCTGGCCAATTTCCTCAGCATTATCAAAATACTTCATTCCAGCCACAACATCCTCAATTTTGCCAACAACAACAGTTATATAGTCAACAACAACAGCCATATCCGCAATATGGTCAACATCAACAACAACCATACCCACCATATAATCAACAACAACAACAGCCATACCCACCATATAATCAACAACAGCAGCAGCCATACCCACCATATAATCAACCGCAGCAGCCATACCCACCATATAATCAACCACAGCAGCAGCAGCCATACCCACCATATAATCAACCGCAGCAGCAGCAACCATACCCATCATATAATCAACAGCAACAGCAGCAACAACAACAGCTACCATATAATCAACAGCAACAGCAGCAACAACAACAGCTACCATATAATCAACAGCAACAGCAGCAACAACAACAGCTACCATATAATCAACAACAACAGCAGCAACTTCATACATATGGCCATTCTCCATCATCTAATACTCCATCACAACATAATCAAAATTGTAATAATGATGAGGTTCGCTTTATAAAATTTTGTATGTGTATATTTATGTATGCACTTTGTTAATAATAATTATTGTTTTTGGGAAAAATCTACTAGTCGAGTAATCAATCTGAAACATTCATCTATATTCCTTTAACACCTCGGCTTTATTACAAATCATTGATGAATAAATGTATAGAATATGAATTGTCTCATCGTTCAGAAGAAGATAGTTCTCGTAAAATTCTTTCAAAAAATACTTTGACTTTGTTAAATGTATGTGCACTTCATTGGAGAGTTTCTCCGGTATTTCGTTGGCTACAATATCTTGATGTTATTAGGTCTCGTTATGATGCTGAGGATCCCCTTATATCATTAGAACACATCAGAGAAGGGATTCATTTGTTGAAAGAAGCTACAAAACTACGAGATGTTTCAACCTGGACAATTTCTGATGTAACATTTATTTATTTGTTTATTCACTACTTTCATTCATTCATTCATTCAATACAAATAAATACTTTTCTCTTTTATACTTATGATGCAATTTTTATATATTTATATTTTAAATTTAAAATATCACAGAAAAAAGAGCTTGTGGAAGTATACATCGGAATTCACAATTCTTTGCTTGATTGGTTGAAAGAAGCATTGGGCAAAGAAGGGTTGATTAAAATAAAAACATCTCTATTTGAACCAGTTTTCTTCCTGCTGGGTACTATTTATGATAATGAGCTGTTTCATGCTGCTTATCCTGACACTTCTGCTTTCTATAATGAACTACGGGAACGTATTAGGGTATTTATATAATGCTACTTTAACATCATTTTTATAATATATTTGTTAATTAATTGACAACTTCAATTTATTTAAAAAATTTTATTTTTATTTTTATATAATTTTATATATGTATGACATTAAAAGAAAGTTGCATTTGATATATATCAAGAAAAACGAAATGAAATTTATGGTCAACAAGTTGCAAATGAAGTTCAAACATTAATTATTTTAGCTAGATGGATTCAAGCGGAAATTGATAAACTTTCCAAAAAGTATCCAGAACCATTGATGGGGTTTGTATATTCTATATAATTCTGTATACTGGCCTGTTTTTTTTTAATCAATGCATTTATGCTTAAATCTGATGCGTTTCTTAGCCAGTTGGAAATTCTCAGCTTGGTGGTCGAACAACAAGCACCACTTTTAACATTAGATCTGGAGAATGCAGGTGCTGATATTATGAAAAAAGTAAGGATGACACCAGAAGAAGGTATTCCTGTTGATGATATTATTGAACTTTACAGGGAGATTCTTTCAATCAAAATATTATATGAACATCATTGTAATGGGTATGTATTTGTTAAATCATAATATTTCTGCATAATAAAATTTATTTTACTAACACGCTAAATAATTTATTTATGTAGGTCTAAATTTGCCTTTGGAATTGAAGCATGGTTTGGACCTTATATCAAAAAATGGCTGGATGCCACAAACAATAAGACACCTGAATGGGTTCATTCTGCTATTGATGTGGATAAAGTAAAAAATAAATTTTACCTTCTTAATTAATTAATCAATCATTATCTTTAAAAACGTTAAATAAACATATACTCACACACTCTCACTCATACACACACAGTTTATACCAGCCAGTTCAACAGATTATCATTCATCTTCCGTAATAGATTTATTTACTTCATTTAATCAAACAATTGATTTTATTAAATCATTAAACTGGCCTAATGAATATCAGTCTGCAAAATTTATGACTAATCTATCCAAGGTAATTTTTATAAATGTTCATTTGATTTTATCATTAATAATAAACTTATATTTACCAATTTATGATTAAAAACATAACTTATTTAAGATTATTAGTAAAGCATTAGAACAGTATTGTTCTGTAATAGAAGAAATTTATCAAAATGAGATGGCAGTGATTAAGGATCCTGAACAAGAAACTTCAAAGCAATCTGCTTGGTATGTCAATGTGAAAACCGCAATAGCTACCCAAAAAGTTGCACCTTTTGACATTAAACCTGCGGTAATATATATATATATATTTTTTTTTTTTGTTATATATTAATTTATACATATGATTTCTAAAAATGTTGCCAATTTTCAGTCTTGTATTAAATTGAACAATATTGAAGCCGCATGTGAACAACTAGATAAATTGTACGACTCAATGGGTGTTGACTATTTAACACAAATTCTTAATGAGTCAACTCCTCCAACTCTGGAGCCAGTTGAAGTACCAAAATATTTTTATACTATCAAAATTGTTATGGCTGAAAACTTGGCAGCACTTGACAATAATGGATTAAGTGATCCTTATTGTATAATTAGTGATAAAGATAATAATATTTTAGCGCGGACACGTGTAGTTTATGAAAGCTTAAATCCTCGTTGGGATGAGGCATTCGATTTAACTATTGATTCAACTGATCAAAATTGGCTTACATTAACAATCTGGGATAGCGATCAAGTTAGTTCGGATGATGAATGTGGAAAAACCTATTTTAAGCTTGATCCTCAAGACTATAGTGATTATTTAGCTCATGATATATGGCTTGATCTGGATCCTCAAGGTCGTATTTTTTTACGTATTAGCATGGAAGGCGAAAAGGATGATTTGCAGTTTTATTTTGGAAAAACATTTAGAACACTAAAACGAGCACATGATGATATGGCAAGAACTATTGTTGACAGAGCAAGTACAATAATAATTTACCTATCAATATTAATTATTATTAGTATTATTATCAATTTTATAATTATTGTTTTTTTAAAAAAAAATAGATGTCTCCATTTTTGCGACAATGTTTATCACGTGAAGTGATTAATAGATTATTAAGGCCTTCAGCCAGCGCTTTTAAACATTTTTTTCGTGAATCAGATGTACAGGCGAAGAAATCAGATTTAGAAATCGAACAAGCAATACATCCTTTGTTTGATTATTTTGATGTAAATTTGAAGACACTCTTTCATTCATTACATCCGGCTGTGTTTAAAAAGGTTATGACAAGAGTTTGGAAGGAAATAGAAACCATTATTGAGGAAATTCTAATTCCTCCATTATCTGACAAGCCTTCAGATTTAAAACCACTTAACGACGAAGAATTAGAAGTTGTCTATAAATGGTTAAAGGTAAAGATTAAATAAATAAATAAATAAATAAATAATTTTTTAATAATATACAGTTATAAATAAATATTTTTTGTTTGCATGTAGTTTTTGGGGGATTATTTACATGCTAATGGAAATGGTGTTTCAAAGGAAGAAGTCCTTTTTAATCTAAAATATCATGAAATAATGAAAATACAATATTATTATGTGATGGACAAAGAATCACTCAAGCAAGATTTTCTTCAAATAAAAATTACCAGTTCATTAAATCCTAAAAAAAAAAGTCTTAGTGCGAGTAAATCTGTCCTTCATCAACGAAATCTTGGTACAATTAAGCATCGCAAATCAGAAAAACGTAAGCACAATCAACATGATGACGGGGAAATTATTCTTAGAATTTTGAGGATGCATCCGGGTACAAAAGCATTTTTGAAAGAACAAATGGAAGAAAGAGCTAAAAAAATACAATCCAAAATTACTCCTGTAGTAGAAGGGGGAGTCGATACTATAGCAGAAAATTGAGGTACAAAAGGCATTTTGAAAGAACAAATGGAAGAGCTAAAAAATCTGATCCATAATTACTCCTGTAACAGAAAGGAGAGTTGATGATACCATAGCAGAAGATTGAACTATATATATTTATTACTATTTATTACTATTTATTTAATACTGTAGATATCATTATTTTCATTATGTACAACGAGGAACATTTAAATCCTTTTAGATTATCAATATTTGTTTCTCGTTATTTCAAATACCAAAAATTGTTATTTTAAAATATTGTTTACTTATTAAAATTTATTTATTTATTTATTAATAATATATTTTCTATAATATGTGTTTAAAGGGGTTTTTATTTTTTTAAAAAAAAAGATAAATAATATTATTTTTTTTTTCTATCCCGCACATATCTATTAATATAATTTTTCATCTTAATATGTATATTAATTCTCCAAAAAAATAAAATAATATATTTTTAAACTAAAAAGTCACCACACACCATATTAATATTTAATTATATTTGCATAGCTGTAATGATTCGAAGACGTCACTCTAGAAAGAGCTACATAGAGTTGGTCATGAGAAAAGACAGGGTCGACCAAGTATAGTCCTACACATGAGTGGCTTTGTCCTTGAGGTCTGTTAATGGACAAGACGTATAGGAAATTGTTGGCGTTGGAGCACGAAGGGTAAGTCTACTGTAGTCGGAGAGAAGGTGAGGCGAGGAATGAATACTCGCATTCCTATATGTGTTCCAGTGATGATCTTTGCATAGATGGCAGCCTCAGAATTATTGTTATCATTAGTGGACATAATGGTGTTATAAGTAGATTATTATAATTAGAGGTAGATAAGTAGATAAGCAAATATTTAATAGCAGAGTTGCGGTTATATTGATAGCAAGATTTATCTATCATAGGATAACCAAATGATAATGTCCTTGAGCACTTTATTTACAATTACAATCATGCAGAATTAAAATTACCTTTTGATATTCATTTTCAATGTGTTGCAAATTCCGTACCTATTCCGTACTTTATATGCGGAATCAAAAAGTATCTTTTCAGTATGTTACAAATTCCGTACCTATTTCGTACCTTATATGCGAAATCAAAACGTACCTTTTCAGTATTATCATTATTATTATTATGATAAACGTTTTAATTAATATTAATGAGGGGACAATACTTAAATCCGTCGTAACAAGAAATGTGTTGTGGCGAGGTCCGCTGTGACGAGGTTTGTAATATATAAAAAAAAATTAATAAATGGTGGTTAACCGGTTAATTTAACCAGTTAATCAAAAAGAATTAACTGGTTAAAAAAATATTTTAAACGGTTACCCTAGATCTGCTCCGCGTTTTGATTCCAATTAAAATACTTATATAAAATAAAAGACACCACATTATATCAATACAAATAAAAAAGTACCTCTGGTTAATTATTAACGCATGCTCTTTAGGATCTTTAGGAGACCCAAGCAACAACACTCACGTTTTGTCACCTTAGACTCTATCAAAAATAAATTGTTTTTCCAAAAAAAAAAAAAAACAATTCGTGTCTGTCCTCCCAATAGGATAAATAATTGATGTGTACATGTCGATCAAATCACAAACTTCTTTTTTCTCTTTTAAATATTTTAAAGATGCCAAAAGAAAATAATAAAAGAAAACAAAAATCAAGACCGTGAAGATATTTCAAAGTAAGTGTTTATCATAAGAGTGGTGGTGGTGGTCGCCACTCATCGCCACTCTATAATAATAATAATAATAATAATAATAATAATAATAATAATAATAATAATAATAATAATAATAATAATAATAATA